TTTCTTTTAACTTTTGCTTAGGCAGGTAGAGTACCGTTTAAAATCGTCTTGTTTTATCAATAAAACAAACAACAGCATCATGAATTTCTTTCATTTCATTCAGACTTAAAGATTTTGCTAATAGCAAAAGATCTAACGTTACTGCACCTAAATGATTAATTGAATCAAATAGAGCTTTCCTGTTTGTGTTGTACCGCGAACAATGAAAAAAGTAATGGATCAAACTTTCTCTTCTACCGCAGCCACACAAATCAGTATCACCGCTTTTTAAACTATTTTTCTCGTTTAAACATTGTTTTAGAGGAGGAAGATGAACTCTGCATCCTGTGTAGGCTACCTCCAAACGAGGGGAACATTTATACGCAAACATTTTTATATCACTACTTCCTTTTAAAACATGAAAATAATCATTTAATTTTTACTTGAAAAGATGTATCTTAAAAACTGAGCTAATCGCAGTTGGAATTTCATTCCACTCCACTGGTAATATTGCAAAGAAAGTATTACTTAACAATCTACTTGCAAGATTACGAATTCTATATTGTCTTCTTTTTCCAAATCTTAGTTGATATGTACTCTTGTTTACACTCAGTTGTACATGATCACGCAAATACTGGGGAGTAAGACCTCGCACTATTCGAAAAAATAATAATAAACGCATTTGTAAGAAATGTGTTCTAATTGGCAGCCAGTACAAATTATTCAAAACTAGATTCGTTGTTGTTCTGCTTATGGTACCTGTAACAAGTCTGGCTGCGCGTTTTTGTACAACATCAAGCTTTTGAAGGTTACACTCAGTTGTTAAAGAATATAATGTTGCGCCATAATTGTAATCGGAATGTCAACTAACCTACTTCATGTTGTATTGTTTCTCTCATTTTTACGTTCCATATCGTCCAAAAAGAAGAAAGGATCTAATTGGTTCTTTCGTGATAGTCATTTAGCCTAACCTAGAAGATATTTATTTATTTCGTAAGAAGCGTCGTTCGTTCGTTTCGTCGTGAAATTGTTCTGTTTCTTTCTATATAAACGTTCTTTTTATGTAATCTTACGAAACAGACCGTTAGCCGTAAATTTCTTTTTCCTTTTCCATATACGAATACTGAAGGAACGAAAGCGAACGAATTACGCTTCTTACGTCCTTCGTCCCATCACTAGTCATGCTTTTTTAGCACACATTATTTTCGCATAGTCAATAATGTATCCTCTGATCACACGCGTACTTGCCGTCATTAACCTTATATAAAGACATGTTTATCTACCTGTAGCCTTTTATAAAGCACAGTACCATTTAAAACTTTTTAAATTTGTCGAAGAACACAAACTTTTAATTGGAGAAATACTTCTATACATCGATATCGGGTAAGTCCATTCGATTTCTTTGTGGTAAAGTTGTTGGCAGAGACGTATATGTCGAAATTAGACGCGTAAGTCGTTTCCTTTTGATTCGAAGCACAGGCAGAGTTTACCAGGTTGCAGTAGATAAGTGAATCCAAAACAAAACTTCATTTATGATATAGAAGGACCATTTTTTTGTAATTGCAACGTTTCGTTTGCAGGATGGCACAGAAATCGTCGTCGGTGGAACATAAATCCATCATTACGAGTACTTGGAAAGCGACAAAGGAAAACTTTGCGGAACTTCTATCAAATTTACGTATTAAACCGCGCCCACTTTCTTCTCTTCCATTTATTACTTCGAAATTAAAATTAGTGACAAATATCTTTGCCGAAAATGATACAGCAATACAGCCTCTGCAAATTTCTCACCATTTCGACGGCATTACCTTGATTTGGTTCGATCCAAATATTGATTTAGAAAGCGAAGACACAGGATGGACACAGAGAGAACTTCGAAAAATCAATGATTTTGTGGATTTTTACAAAGAAGAAGAACAAGCTGTTGATCATGTCAATTCTGCTAAGCACAAAAAAGTTCTTCTTGTCACCTCAGGCCATAGTGCTAGTTCGATTCTTAAAAAAATTGCGCAACTGGAACAAGTTGCATCTGTTTTTGTCTTCTGCGCAAAACCCGAGGAGTACCAACATTTGATGATAGACTTCCAAAAGATTGTGGGCATCTACTCTACACAGATAGAACTTCTGAACTCGATTCGCCTAACAATTGCCGATTGTGGAAAACAATTGGAATTGTTAAATTCCGCTAGACAACTTGATAGTGCTGCACCACTACCAGAGACAACGGCTGAGCTACCTCCTGTTTCTCCGAATCTTGAAGGTATTACTTTGATGTGGTTCGATCCAAATATTCAATTAGAAAGCGACGATACAAAACGAACAAAGCAAGAACTTCGGAAAATAAATGACCGTATCTTCTTTTGCACCGATGTAAAATTAGCTGTTGACTACATGAAATCAATCATTGACGAAAAAGTGCTTCTCGTCACTTCTGGCCATAGCGCTGACTCAATTCTCAAACAAATTGATAAATTAACTCAAGTTGACTCTATCTTCATATTCTGTGCTAAACCCGAACAGTACAAAGATTTAAAGAATACTTTCCAAAAGGTTGTGGGAATCTATTCTGCGCGTGAAGAGCTCGTAAAATCGATTCGTTTGACAATTAATGACTGCGAAAAACAGCTCGGATTGGTTAATTTTTACAATGCTCAGAGACAGAAATCTACGCGTGATCTATCAGAGGAATCCGCTGGTTTTCTGTGGTTTCAGCTTTTCAAGGATGTCATTGTAAGAATGCATAGTGATGAACAAGCAAAAGAACAGTTGGTGGAATTCTGTCGAAATTATTATCGCGGAAATAATGAGCAAATAGCTTTCATCGACGAATTTCATCGTGACTATACAATGAAGGATGCCATAAAGTGGTACACAAAAGAATGCTTTCTGTATAAGATCGTTAACCATGCACTTCGAATAGAAGACATTGAACAATTATTTACTTTTCGATTCTTTATTGTCGATCTAACGCAAGCACTTACAGCTGAATATGAGAAGATCCGAGTAGCGGGCGAAGATATTGTATTTCTTTACCGAGGGCAAAAGATGGAAATCAAAGAATTAGAAACTTTAAAGCGAAATGTAGGACAGTTAACAGCCACGAACGGTTACTTTTCAACTACACGTGAAAAACAAGTTGCAAAAGATTTCGCAACGAAAGATTTTGCAGCAAAAGTAGCACTACGACCGAATATCTTTTGCGTATTTTACGAAATTGAATGTAATGTAAAGGAAGTTAAGACAGTCATCTTTGCTGATATTTCAGCATTTAGTGACTTTCCAACGGAGTCAGAAGTTCTATTTGGTATCGGGGCAACATTTAAAATTATCTTTGTCACAGAAGAAGATCCAAGTCTTAAACTGTGGAGAATTACATTGAAAGTGACTGATGAAGGAACTGAAATTGCTCGAGATTATATTAAACTGAACGCTGATACAAAGCCTATCTATCTGTTCGGAGAACTTCTACTTAAAATGGGAAAATATGATCAGTCACTAAAATACTTTCAAAATTTACCGAACACCAACCAAGGCTTAGACAGGACTACTATCGACAATGATATTGGCCTGGCTTATTTTGAAAGAGGCGAATTTGACCAAGCATTTCAAATATGGAAAAAAACTTATGATTCCCTTGTTAATGCTGAAATTCCGGACGAAAGTGTTGCTGCAACACTTTTAAGCAACATGGCAATGGTGTATAACCAGAAAGGACAGTATAAAAAAGCACTAGAAATGCGTTTGCAAGTGCTAGAAATAGAAGAAAAAAAATTTGGAAAAGAAAGTTTAAAAACAGCTCACACTCTTGGAAATATCGGGTCGACTTATGACTATTTAGAAGACCATGAACAAGCTCTAATATATTTTGAACGGTCTTTGATAAGTCTGCAAAAGCTACTGCCTAGTGACCATTTGGACATTGCTTCAAGTCTCAGGAGCATTGGTAATTCTCACAATGCACAAAAACGATACGAAAAGGCCCTGGAATATTATTTCAAAGCTTTCGCTATTGTCCAGAAAGTCTTTGGAGAAAACGGCCATCCTGATATGGCTTCGAATCTTGACATCATTGGACATGCTCATTACGGGCAGGGAAAATTCAATGATGCTCTTGATTTCATGCACAAAGGATTGAAAATGCGACAAACGTTATTGCCACCGGATCATACAGATATTGCTATAAGTTGCATAAACATTGGAGCCGTCTACTTCGAACAATTACTATACGAGAAAGCGTTGGAATTTTATTTTAAGGCATTAGAGATTCTGGAGAAAAACTTTGGTGAAGGGGGACATCAGAATGTGGCTTCAATTTTCCACACCGTTGGCCTTATTTATCAGAAACAAACAAAACTCGACGATGCTCTTAATTATTTTCAGAAGTCATTAAAAATCCGTCAAAAAATACTTTCACCAGACCATCAAGATATAGCGAAAAGTTTGTTAATCATTGGAGATATATACAAAAATAAGTCTGAATATCAACTGGCGTTTGATTTTTACCTAGAAGCTCTAGATATTCTACGAAGAATATTTGATATAGATGAAAATAATGCCATTTTAGATACCCTAGAGCGTATTGGTGAGGTCTGTAAATGTACAAACGACAGTGATTACATTAAAAAATTTTTGGAAATCACAGACGAATTGCTTCCCAAAGAACAGAACCTCACTGCCAGATAAAACACATTGCAAAAATACTTTGTATGCGTTACGTCACACGACCTTTAGTATTCCATAAGTGCACTTTGTGCTGAGTTCTATTATGTCAGCTATTTTATTTATCGTTATAAAAGGCTGGAAACAAAAAAATCCAGCATGTTGCAGCCATTCTGAAAATGGAAAATGTATTATATACCATTCGACGCAGAATTGAACTCTGATTCCAAATCTGGTCACATTTTTGTCCGGAGGTTTTCTGGAAGGAAGAAAAATCCAAAATACCGGCTAAAAATGTATTTAGGGATACTTTTTTCGAGGATTTAACTTGCAAAAACTTTTGAAAAGTGTTTCTGATAGAGTGGACTTTGCTCTACCTCCTTACGGCAATCACTCGCTACTCGATCGTTATTGCAAAAAATTTTCCTATATCTTTTCTATAGCCGGACTATAATGGCTTATCTGCGAATTGGGGGAAGCGGGTAGGGTGATTTTCATGGTTTTGTAGAGTGATAGTCGCTCTATAAAAAAATCAGCTTAAACGGATCAGTATTGATGGAGAAAAGAGGCTAGTCATATCAGCGTGCAAAAAGTGTGGGTAGGGTCATAAAAATTGCTGTACCTCTTCTGCCACCAAGATAAGTCAGTCATAGCGGGCTGAAAATTTGTACAACTAATGTGGACATAGTGAGTAACAAAACCGGCTTATAAAAATCCAAATCTGAGTTGAGTCACACCGCAAGGTGTCTGAGAATCTCAAAAACTGACTCTTAACGTCTGTCGGAGGAAACAGATATGTCACACTAACTTATATGAGAAACACGAGAAAAAGTAGATGATAAATGAAAATGTTTCTTATTGTTTTCTGTTAAATGTTCTTGCACAATAAAGGTGAAGATTGCGGCGAAATAAAAAGGTGACTGTTGGACATCATAAAAAAATTAAAGAGAAGAATGGCTGCAACATGCTGGATTTTTTTGTTTCCAGCCTTTTATAACGATAAATAAAATAGCTGACATAATAGAACTCAGCACAAAGTGCACTAAAGGTCGTGTGACGTAACGCATACAAAGTATTTTTGCAATGTGTTTTATCTGGCAGTGAGGTTCTGTTCTTTGGGAAGC